CAACAATATAAGGAAGTTCCTATTTTTCTGTATCCTTGCCAGCACTTACTACTTTTCTTTTTAAATTAAAGTCATTTCAGTGGATATGCAGTGTTAGCTGATTGTGGGCTTAGTTTGCATTCCCTTAAAGATACAAAAAGAACATCTTGTAATATGCTTTGGAATATGTGAATTAATCTTCTTTGAGGAAATATCTATTAAAATCCTTTAGGTAATTTTTAAATCGGGTTATCCTTTAATTGTTGAGTTCTAAGAGTTCTTTATTCTAGATAGTAAATTCTTGAAAAATACTTGATTTGCAAGTTCTTTCTTCTGTTCTGCAGACAGTCTTCACTTTACATTCTTGATAATTTTTGAAGCATGAATCTGTTTGAAGCAATTTATCCTACCCCCCTTTTTTTTCACTTATGTTTTTCATGCCAAGTCTGAGAATTCATTACTAAATATGAAGTTCTGAAGATTATCTTTTCGTTTCTTCTTAAGAGTTTTATAGTTTTAACTCTTACATTTAAGCTGTTGGTTTATTTTGAGAATTTTTTTTTCATGTGGAGTGAGGTAGGCATCCAACTTTTATTCTTTTCAGGTGGTTATTCAGTTGTATCAGCACCATTTGCTCAAGAGACATCTTTCCTCCTTTGAAAATCTTGACAAGTTTATTGAAAATGCATTGATCATAGATATTTGAGGTTATTTCCCATCTTTTGAAGCAAATGTCTTGACTCTTTTTTTAAAAGTTATTATTAATTTCAATGAAAATTTACAGAGACTTTGGATTTCCATTCATTCATTGTTATACTTTTCTCCCCTCACAACCCTCCCGCCTAGTACACCACCCTCTTGGAAAAGTAAAAGAAACATTCTTTCATTTTTTTTTGGTTTTTTGTTGGTTTTTTTTTACTTTTTTCATAAACCATAATTTATTTCCTCACAATTTAGGAGGCTGTAAGCCTGAGTTCAGGGAACCAGCTGTAGGTCGTGACTTTTGTCTCTGTTGGATTTAGAGGAAAATCTTTGTTTCTTCTGCTACTGTAAGAGATTCTTTTTATTATTATTATTAATTTCAGTGAAAATTTACAGAGACTTTGGATTTCCATTCATTCATTGTTGCACTTTTCTCCCCTCCCAACCATCCCCCCTAGTACACTACCCTCTTGGAACAGTAAAAGAAAAATTCTTTCATTGTTTTGCAATCCTTCCCCCTCCCCCAGGTCCACTCCACTTTACAGCCTTCACTCTGGACTCCTGTCATGACAAAAAAAAATACCTAATAACATATCCCTTCTAAACAGTTTTCTTCCTCATTTTTTTCAATGCAGTATACATTATTGAACCCATCTTTCTCAGTCTCCCCCCAACCCCTAGGTCAGTCCTGTTTTACAACAGTGGCACCATGCAATATTTTTCTTTTTGTGAATATGATACTTCACTCAGCATATGTTCTCCAGGGTGACCCGTTTTGAATAATATTGTATGAGTTCCTTGTTTTCCAATGCAGCGTAGTATTCTATTGTGTGAATATACCACAGCTTCTCTATCCATTTGTTTGTTGATGGGTACTTAGGTTGTTTCCAGCTCCTTGCTATTATGAACAAAGCTGCGATAAACATGGGTGTTCATATATCTGCTTGGATGTCATTTATGGTCTCTTTGGGGTATATTCCCAGTAGTGGAATTGCTGGGTCAAATGGTATCTTTATTTGCAACTTTTTGAGAAAGCGCCATACTGCCTTCCACAGTGGTTGCACCATTTTACACTCCCACCAACAGTGACTAAGGGTTCTAGTTTCTCCACAACCTCACCAGCATTTGTTGCTTGTTGTTCTGTTAAATTTTACTATTCTGACTGGGGTGAGATGATATCTCATAGTTAATTTTGATTTGCATCTCTCTTAGAGCTAGGGATTTTGAATATTTCTTCATGTGCTTGTTAGCTATCTAAATGTCTTCTTTGGTGAAGTGTCTGTTCATATCCTGTGCCCATTTTTCTATTGGATTATTTACCTTTATCTTGTTGTGGTGTTGACTCTTTTTAATACTCAGTTTGTTGCATTTAACAGATGTATTCAGTTTTGAAATTACCACCATGGTCAAGAAATAAAATATTTTATCATCCCTCAAATTTTCCATATACACCTTTACAATCAGATCCCTGCCATTTGAGCCTAAACTCTGTTGTTTTGTTGTTGTGCGCTGGCCAGTTAGAACTAATCCACAGCTGACCCTCCTGCAGGATTCCAGAGACAGTAAATTGCATAGGAGTAGATTGCCCATCTTTCTCCCATGGATCTGCTAGTGGATTTGAACCACATACCTTTGGATTGACACAACATTTGCTTACTGCTAAGCCACCAGAGCTCCCTAACAACTTCTAATTTTCTTTCTCTTGCTACACTTTTGCCTTTCCCAGAATTTCAAATCAAAGAAACAACGTGTATATAGTATTTAATGATTACCTCTTTTTATGTACTTTTCCCTACTTTTACTTATCTACCATCTTTTTATATTGTTGTTGTTGATTGCCTTTGTGTCAAGAATGACTCATAGTGATCCTGTGAACAAAAAGCCTGAAGCTTTTCTATCTACATGTATCAAAGTTCATAGAGTTCATAGAAATTGTTTAGGAAGTAGATGCTATTCCAGCTTCCAATGATAAAAAGTCTCCACAAGTATTTTGCCCCCTTTTTAATTGAGTTGTTAATTTTTTCTTAGATTCTGAGAGCTCCTTATGTATTCTGGCTATAAATCCTTTCAAAATTAATATTTCATAATTATCTTCTCCTTGTCTGGGGTTTGTCTTCTTAGTATCTTTTTAAAGGAGGTGATTTAAATTTTTATCATTTTTATTACATTTTTTGGTTCATGATAATTATCCTTATCACAAAAATATTTCTACTGTATGTTAAATGTAAAAATACAAATGTGAACAAACTATGTATCTGTCCTCTTTTTTCCCTACAGCATTTTCTTCTTGATTTTTTTATTTTAGCCCTTACAATTAGGTTTGTGATGCATTCAGATTATTATATTTCATAATTAAAGCCCAAGGGTTTTGAGGGATTTTTTAAAAATGTTAGGTTTTTTGGGGAGTTTTTTTGTTTGTTTGGTTTTTTTGGTGTGGGGTTATTCAGTACCATTTGTTGAATTCGCTATGTTTGTTCCATTGATTTCTCTTAATATCATTATTAAATAATATCAGCTGATTATATATATGTATAATTTATCTTATGCAAAAACTACCTGAACCCAGGTGACCCAGTTAACTAAACAGACTACTCTACCTCTTCACAGATGTTCATTAGTTTCCTGTTGTTTTACTTCTGTTTTTACTAACAGATTACGTTAACCTTTCTCCACTACTCCACTGAAACAACTTTTGCAAGAATCTCCAGTGATCTCTTTCCCAGCATTCCATGTACATTGTTCGATCATTGACTCATGTGATAACATACTCAGTTGACTTGTTATCACCCCTCTCAGACACTCTTTTCCCTTGACATAATCTTCTCTTTTTTAATGTTTGTCTCTATGTGTATATTTTGCTAATTAGTCTTTTCTGCTCATTTCTTATGTATCCGCACACCTCAGGATTTTGGGTGTGGTTTCTTTTTTCTCTTTCTTTCTCATCCTTTGGGCTCTGTCTCATTGCTGTAGAGTTGGAACCATCTCATAGGTGAGCCTCCGTTAGGTGCTCTTGGCTGTACATCTCATGAGAGGAGCTTGCCTGTTTAGTTTCCTCACAGTTTCTCATGGATTCACACCACCAGAGAGGCATGGCATTTTGGGTTAGCAGTGCACTAGGCCACCAGAGTGCCCTATTCTTTTCACATTCCTTCCTTGTTCTCATTTACTCGTGGCTAAAGAATTCCAAAATTTACATCTGACCCAGATCTTCCCAGAGTTTTATTTCTGTATAGTTGACTGCCTGCTAGGACCATAAGCTCTGCATGGCTTATATTTATTTATATACTTTTTATATCTTGTTCTTTATATATCTTGTCCACACTTCTATTCTCCTGTATAACATGGAAGAACTCAGTAACTATTGCTTAAACTGAACAAATGAGTGGATGAACAAATGAATCAGCCTGTGTGGTTGCTATGGTAACATAGCTTACAATTCTAATAAATATTTTACTGTCAGCCCCTTTACAAATACCACATTTTATTCTGTGAGTATGTGATTGAGGTCACAGCGTAAGGAAATTACTTTTAGAATCACATTTTGGGGGGTTTCTTTTGGTTAATGTTTCTTCTTACAGTTGGTAGGGAACCTTGAGATGAAGAAATGGAAATGAGATCCTCAGCAGGGGCAGGTATGAGATGAGCGGAGACATTTCTCCAAATAATTACATTCTCTAAATGCTGCTAATGATGTTCAAAGTTTTTTTGTTATTCTGCTTCTGTTTTTTTTAGTCCATTAATTTCCTTTAATAATTACCTGTATTATTTGGGGGATAAAATATTTTGGTAGCTCTATTAAATTGTGAGGGCTGTTTTATTTGTTCTTTGACTTGTCACCTAAATATTTATAACATTTTTCTTCTTAGCCCTGGGGTGGTATTTGAGAGTCCTATGTAGGAACATATAAATTATGTAGTATAGATTCTTTTATATGTAGTAGTATGAATGTTTTATGATCATCTGAGTGTTCCCCTTAAAGAATATCTGTACTAGTTATGGGTTGCGCATAATGCCATTTTGGGAGTATTTGGGAGAAATACAAGGCACAGTTCTCATTGCTGTCAATAGGAGCGCTCACCCTGTGGGAGCCGAGATGTAGCCAGCAACTAAACAGTAGGGCGTGTGAGACAGTTCATAGTATCTGGTGCATGGTACTTTTCATGAAAGGTGGAATATCTTGCTACTAAACTTATGCCTTTTCTTGTTGGTCATGGTGAGCAATTCTGTAAATGTTTAGGGTTTCTCTATATATGCCCTCTTTATTTGTTCTGGCTTGTGCAGTCCTTTACATTTCTCTGTCTCTCTCTCCTACATTTCAGTGAGCGGTTTCTGGTGAGACTGAACAAGAATGGTGGGCCAAGGAACCCCGAGAAGATAGAGCGAATGTGTGCCCTTTTTACAGTATGTGCCAATTCTCTTTCACTTCTCCACTGTTGACTCTACCCAGGGGCCTGCTATGTGGATTTTGTCACCCTGGAAATTAGTGTTTATTCCTATTTCTCCACATACTGGAAGAATAGAACTTGATTTATGTTTCTCTCAGGTTTTAATGAAATATTTAAAGAAAACTGAAACCAGCTACAGGTTTTAATTACATTCTCTACTAAAGGAAAGCAATCAAGTGTCTTTTATTGATGTACATTTTATAAGCTATTTTATATAGTAGACACTAAAGAAAAAAATCTTTCTTACTAGTTTTATCCAAGGCCACTGGCAGTTTCTTTGATGTGTAAATATATTTTCTCTTAAAGGCATCCTCCAAATTCACAGTTTTGCAGTTTGTCAGTGAAAGCATATAAAGAGGGACAAACTAAACAGTCCTTCTCTTCCAAATACAAGTGGAGGGTCTTTGCCTGCTACTTATCTGTGGTACGGCAATAAATAATTACCTTTACTACCTACTCAATGAGCGAGTTGTATTTTCGTGTTTTCATGTGTGGCTGCTCATGGTGTCATGGACTCTGCTATCATGGACCCTTCAGCTCAGAGAATCTTAGCAATCTGCTTATTAGAAAGTGCTGGACTTGACAAGAAGGAGTTCTGGTTGCATAGATCCTAGGGAGTTGCACTGCTAACCTATCTGGCAGTTTAAATCCACCAGTGTCTCCAAGGGAGAAAGAAAGACTGGCAGCCTTCTCTTGTGTACTTCACAGCCTCAGAGCACATGCTGGAGGATCAGCTATGAGTCAGTTCTCATTCCATGCCAATGAACTTGAGTTTTGAAATGTTCCAGGAACTATTTTGCTTTGTGTGTTCTTTAAGTGTATTCATACTTAACTTTATTTAAGCTCTTAGAAAATGGTCTAACATTATTAGTTTGTTGAAGAACACTAAGACGACTATTATAACTTTAAACCCGTTTTTATTCTCATAAACCTTTCATCTGCTTGTCTCCTCTGGTTAAGATTTATAGCCTCAAAAACCTGAAGGAGAGTCACTATGAGTCAGATTCAGCTTAACAGTCGTAGATTTTTAATCAGACGTTAGACTCCCTCGGGGTGTTATGGTTAAAACATTCAACTGCTAACTAAAAGATTGCTTGTTCAAATCCGCCAGCCCTTCCTCGGAAGAAAGATGTGAAAAGGCCTTCCATGGGAGAAAGAAAAAGAGTCACACCTTAGATATCCAGTGGGACAATTCAGATATGCCCTACAGGATCCCTATGTGTTAGGATTATTGCTACCACAGAAGGCCTGGGTTTTGGTTTAGTCAGATATTTTAATGCTTACAGTGGGCCTCCTAAACACAAGTGGGATTTATCTAGGGATCCAATGTGTGACCTTAATCTGAATGCCAAAGCCACATTTGTTCACCTAATATTTCAGTACTTCTTCTATCACTTTATCTTTCAGAAACCACCTTCAGCATAATAACTATTATTGGGAATGTCCCAGATGTACAGAAATAATAATAGCTTCCAATTCTCTTAAATGAAGATTGTGTTGATGCCCATCTTGAATGAGCTCTACATTCACATACTTAGGAGACAGTGCAGGAAGGAAGAGAAGAGAGAAATGACCCATTCAGATGCTAAATAGGGTTGATTACAGAGAGAAAACAAGGGAAAGAATCTAAATTGCCATTAACAGGATTTAAGTTAGAATATTAGTGGAAGCGCTATCAAAGTGAGAGTACCTAAACCCTTGAGTGGTACTCTAGGGAAGCTGTGAGGCTTCCTTTCTGTAGCAGCATCAGAAAGAGATGAGACTTCCATCTGTCTGGAATGACAAGTGGGCACAGTGGCCATAGGAGGCCTTTCTACATTCTGATTCAGGGTATTATCTAGCAAAGCAGTCATCTGTGCCTTGTTCCTTGATATTGGGCTAATAGAACACTTATGTGTGTACTGTCTTTGAATATGATGAGTGTCCTTGACTCTTGAAAAATTAATTATTATAAGTATTTAAAAAATGATAGTAAATAAAAATATTTCATTTGGTAGCATTTCGGTTAAGCTGAATGGAACCAGAGGCTTAAGCTCTTAGCCACAACTTAAAAACCAAAGCTGCAATTAACACTTAGGAGGCACTTTTGTCCCACCAGAGTAGGAGGACTCAAGCTTGCTCATTACATTGCTCCTATAGTCCCCTTTAAAGAACAGTTCTGGAGTGTTTTTTCTTAAGGTCCCATACTGAATTGAGGAATTGTTACAAAGTATATCAATTTTTTAACAAGGTTTACTTAGCCAAGATTTTCATAGTTTACTTTGGGCTATATGAAATAATTTTGGTGAATTTTTTTTTTTCATTATTGTAAGAGTTTTGAGGGGTGGTTGTTTTTTTTTTCCTGTGGGCTAGAGGAGTTTCTCAGATTAGCATATGTGTTAGACAGTCTAAGAGTAAATACAAGTAAATGCAGCCACAACTCCGGCCAGCCTGTCAACTTGCTTTACCTTTGGAAAAAGAAAGCTTACAAACCCAGCAGTTTGGGGCCTCTTCACCCAGCCGACTTCAGACCCAGTCTCCACATGGTTCCCTTATCCACAGAACAACCTGACCATTTTAGATTTTAGTGAAGGAAAAATTCTATCAAAGAAGGAAGTGTTTTATACTTACACTAGTGTCAATAAAGGAAGGATTTTAAAAAAATTTTTTTTTTACTTTCATCTTAAAGAGTGTGTGCAGGTATGTATAATGGCATGTATATATGTATTTGCCCATTGCTAGATTCCTCAGACTCTCACACTGAAAATGAAACCAAACTCACCAACCCTCAAATTGATTCACTCTCATAATGACCCAGACTGTAAACTTTATAGGAAGAAATTGCCCATTATTCTCTCTCAGAGAAAAAGTGGCTGGTGGATTCAATCTGCTGGCCTTTCTGTTAGCAGCCAGATAAATGAAGTATGTGCCACAGGGCTTCTTAGACTGTATGACACAGTGCCTGGCTAATACTAAGATCTCAGTAATTGGCTTTTTTTACAAATTTAATATCTGCTTATTTGTTGTCACATTTGAGTGGCCTCCTTAGACAGCTTGTGCTCTTCTGTCTGAATTAGTTGGCAATACATTTTTTACATTTAGTTATACTCTTAGTGTTCAAAAACATGATTTAAAATGGTTATTTCTTAGAGATAAGAAATTAAATTAATTACTACTCTAGGAATGTCTTGTGTTAGTATTTTGTGTGGTTTTCTTTACACTTTAAGTTTGAATAAGTTAGTTTTATTTTATATTTGTAAATCCTGTTCATATTATTATTGTTGTTTGAAGTGATTTTTCATATAGAAAAAGGGTAGTCCAGGAGCAGAAAAATGGGATTGTCTCCTCTGTTTTTTAAATGAAACAGCAATAACTGAACCTAAGATGCTGGCTCATTTGCCTGTCTGCCCACTATGTATTTGGGGACCATCTTTCCTAATTACCTAGGAAAGGAAGATTTGGTTCAGTGAGTAAATCCAATTCCTCCCAGGCAGTTAGAATTTAAAACTCTGCTTACCAGATGAGTGGTGAATGAGTCACTTCTCATCTTGATTTCCTAGGTCTTCTGAGTATTTTTATATAGATAGCCACACTTGCCTTTGAAGAATTTGTTTTTAATAACCCTGTATGATATGTTAATGGTATTTAAACATACACTTCACTTTAATAACATATTAAAGTTTTACATAGAAGAGTATATGACATTCACAAATAATTTTACTTAAAATATCTTTCTGCACTAATTTTTATTTTCTTGGTATCTAAATATTGCAACTAATACCAGGAGAGTACTGGGTACCATGAAGTACAGAGGGTCAGAAAGAACCCTATGCAGCCACTTGTAAAATTCTGTAAATTATACCTGCGACTTACTCCTTATATTTACTCAGGTAAAGCGAGGATGAGAGTCCGGTGCTTTTGTCCATAGTTCATCTAATTAATATTTGGTGGTAACTAGTTTTTAATTCCCTTAGTATATTTTAATTAGAAGTTATGCTAGGCATATGATAGGTTGGAATAAAAAAATACAAGCTAGGTATAAGGAGCTGTTTCACCTTGAAATGTATCACATATTCTTGTATCTTCTGCACTATTCATGTTTCTGTTTGGCAGAGTGCATACTAATGGTCCTTTTTTTCATTTCCCTTTTATTATTCAGTAACCATCTTAAGTATCAAACTACAGTGGCACTTTGAGAGTATCATTTTAAATTCCACTTTTGAAAGAAAGGAATTAGTAACTTAGAGCCCAAAACACTATTTATTTATTAATATCAAAGACAGTTTTCTCGTTAAAATGCACCTTCATGATTTCAGAGATGCTAATTAATATTCAATTATTTTGTAACCAGCTTCATTATAGCTTGGTTAACAACTTGGAAAAATAAACATCTAGAATCTTAAAGCTTCATTTCATACAATTGATACATGTGATTCAGACTTATTAAAAAGTACTTATTATTGTGTTTTACTAAACAATTATTTTTATTAAAAAAATAATCCATTTCTTCCAAAATATTGCCAAAAAATAAAAAATTTCATTTTCACCATTGCATACTACTTTAAGTTGTCTTTATTTTTTACTTTAAATTTTTAAAACTTTTTGGTTGAGACTGTGTAGCAAAACATATACCAGTTCATTCATTTCTACAAATTGTGTAACCATTCTCACCTTTTCTGAGTTGTTTACCTCCCCCTCTGAAATAAGCTCACTGCTCCTTTGAGGTTCCTTTTCAAGTTGCTGTTGCCACTTTTATTCCATATTTTTAAAAAGAGAAGAATAAAAAACCCAAACCAACAACAAAATTCATTGTAGTTGAATCAGAAACCACTTATAGCTCCACTGGGTTTCTGAAGCTGTAAATTACGTTGGAGGAAACTGCCCATTTTTCTCCTTTGGAACCACTGATGGAGTCAAACTGCCAGACATTGGCTTTTGAGTCAGCAACACAGCTCCTTACCTTTAAATAGATACAGATACAGGTATCTAAAGAGCCCGATGCTTGAAGTGGGTTCTTTACTAATTTAGCTAAACTGTTGTTTCTTTTTAAGAATTTTGCTGATTTCTTTGTTTCTTTGTTTGTTTGGAGATGATCTAAAGGCAGTAATTTCAGGGGTTTATTCAGCTTTCATGGCTCCAGAAATTCTAGAGCACATGATAATTGATTGACATTCTGATTTTTGTTTTCCCCTTTGAAGAGGATTTGTCTGTGGAAACTCTGGTCAAAAAGTTCAGTGATGGAAATAGGGTACCATACAGTTCTTCTTGTTCCATGGCAGAAGAGGCAGTTTTTCTGGGAAACAGTTCTTGACTCTTTTTTCTTCTTTTACTTCAAGTTTGTGGAAATCATTTGTCATGGCTTGGATGACCATTTGCAAGCCTGAGTGACCTGAGGCATTATGTGACAAAATAAGAGCTAGAACAGAAGATTTAAACACATTTTAGACCAGTTAACTGGGTTATCCCGTGAAACCTGACCTTAAATCTCCCAACCAAAGAAACCAAATCTTAGGTTTTTTTCTTGTACATAAGCAGTTGCAGAAACTACTCTTTGTTGTTATAATTGATGCCATTGTTGTTTTAAATATATGTATCACAAATTTACTAGTTCAACTTTATACAGGTATACAATATGTTGAGAGTAATTATAATAATTGTTCGTGTAACCCTGCCTTTAATCAATGTAATTTTCCTGTCACCCTTAACTCTCCTCTCTCCTCTCCCTTCTATCCTGGTAACTACAAATAAACATTACTCTCTATACATTCTCCCTTTCTTGTCTTTTTATATTAAAAGGTCATAAAATGTCCTTTTGTGATTGACTTATTTCACTCAGTATAATATCTTCAAAGTTTGTGCAAATTGTAGCATAAATTAAGACTTAGTTTTACCTGTTGACTAGGTTGTATGCATGTGGTATATTTTGTTTATCTATTCATCTGTTGATGGACATTGAGGTTTTTTCCACTTTTTGGCTATTGTGAATTTGCTACAGTGAACATTCTTTGAACATCAAGAGTGGAGAAAGGCTCAACAGCAGCCTGGCCTATGCGAATGACACAGCCTTGCTTACAGAAAATGAAGACATGAAGCACTTACTTTTTGAAAAAGATAAAAGATGACATTATATCTTAACATCAAGAAAACAAATAAATCTCACCACTTGGCCAATAGGCAACATTTATAGGTGTAGAAAATATTGATGTTGCTGGCAGTTCCATGTTCTTTAATTCGTAATTAACACCCATAATAGCATTATTATATAAAACACATGTACCTGAGTGAAACAGTGTCTATGACTGATTACAAACCAATATTTTTTAAAATCCACCAAAGGTGTGGAGGAAGAAATGAAAAGATATATTGTGTTGGGAAAAATCTTCCGTTAAGGACTTCTTTGAAGGGTAAAGAGCACGGATATCAGGTTAAAGACAGGTACACCTTATCCAAGCTGTGATGTTTCCAGTTGCTTCTTACGCATCTGAAAGTTGGATAATGAAAATTTGATGCCTTTGCATTATGGTGTTGGAGAAGAATATTGACTATAACATGAACTGTAATAAAGACCAAAGAAACCTGTTTTAGAGGAAGTGCAAGCAGGGTGCTCCACAGAAGCATGAATGGTGAAACTTCATTTCACTTTGGATATGTTTTCAAGAGAGACAAGTTCTTGAGGAAAAAAAACATCAGAGGAAGACCCTCAAGGAGATCGATTGACAAAGTGACTATTAACCATGGCCTTGAGCATCGCAGAGATCATGAAGATGGTGCAGGTTCATATCAATTGTTCATAGAGTTGCTATTAGCAACAGTTGATAACATCTGACAACAACATCTATTGCTGATGGGAATGCAAATTTGTATAGACATTGTAGAAAACAGTGGGGTGGTTCCTTAAAAAAGCTCAAAATAGAACTCCCTTATGATCAAGTAATCCCACCTCTAGTCCCAGAAGACTTGAAAGCAAACACTCAATGCAGCACAATTTACATAATACATATTTTTAACACATTACACTTGCAGTTGTTCCAGTGGGATCCTTTTTGGTTGGTTTATTATTTACCTGTTTATTACATATTTATCTCCTTTTCCTCTCCATCACATATTTCATAATACTTTTTAATGTTCCCTTCCTTACACGTATTCCACATACTTTTTAATGTTCCCTTCCTTACACGTATTCCACACCATTCAGCCAAGCAAGGCTGGGGCTAGGATGAGGCAACAAGGAAATGCCTTTGAAAGTGAGTGCCCCTTACATTTCTCACCTTGCTTTCATTGCTTGCCTTCCTCTAGTTTAACTCGGCAACAGAAAATAAAAACAAACCACAGATGGGGACACAATCTCATAGCTCACATCAAATCATAGCTGCCATTTGATTGCCCTTTCCATAGTTTGCTGGAGAGAGACAAACATCTGGGACCAACCAGAAGTATACATATGCTGAAGAAATGAAATTACTCTTTATTAGAAACGAAAGGGAAATCATAGGGACCTTTTCCATTTAGGACAGAAGATACTCCATCAACTGTCACTAATTCACACCAATGAGTCTTGTTGTTACATAGCATCGAGTTATTACGGATTCACAGTTGATCCTTCAGTGAATTTTCAGAGGTAGTAAATCCAGTGCAGCAGCGAGTGAATTAAAACTGTGTACCTTTGGCTTGTAAGAGTAAAGCATAGCTCTTTACCATTAAGCCACAATAGTTCCCTCAACAGTGGAAGGGGATGAGGAAATAGATAATGATCTAGTAGAAAGTTCGAAACAATACCTATTTAAGGCAGCATCTTGTATTTTTTTTTCACTTGTACTATGTTAAAACAACAATAAAACAACAAATTCAATAACAAATATTTTACTCCAAAATGTAATTCAAACATAAACAGTATATAAAAACTTGTATATGTGTAAGTATTTTCATCATTCTTTGGTTTAAAAAGATTCTGTTTGTGAGCTGGAATTTATGCAATTTGTGAGCTGGAATTTATGCAATCAGTGGGAATGGGCTAAAAAGAAATGCTTAAAATGTTCCAGATAAAATTTTTAGCACAAATTATGACTCCGTGTGTGTGTGTATGAATTTTTAAATGTAAATCAAATTGTTGAGATTTCACTAAGATCAAATTAATCTTTTCAAGAACAACAGTCCTAGTATTAGTAATAATTTGTGGGCAATAAAATACATATAAAATTAGTAGAAAATAAACTTTTAGTCATTAATAAACTTTCTGTGTTTTCTATTTTTTCCTGCATTAATTTGTTCCTTTTGTTACAGGAATTTTTTTTACTTAATTTTATAATAATCACTTGTTAAGTACCATCGAGTCAGAACTGACTCATAGCTGATCCTTCAGCAGATTTTCAGGAACAGTGAATCTCAAGGGAGGAGATTGCCCATCGTTCTCCCACAGACCAGCTGGTGGATTTGACCTGTGTGCCTTTGGGTTGGCAGTGCATAGGATAAGGCAGTATCCTGAGGATTTCTAATGTGAGAATTCTGGTAGATAATTGGTATCTTAAGTAGTCTAAATAAGAACTAGAAAAAAATATTACTGAGAAAATAATAAGCTGCTAAAAATACATATAAGTATTCAGACTTTCACTGAAGGATCCTCAGGAACATGAAACTTTTCTAAGATTTAGTTTTACTACCTCTCATGTAAATGTTAAAGCAACCCCCAAAATCATTATGAGGTTCAAAATGAAATTGTAGTTATTTTCTGTATACCCATTATCTTGATATACTTAACATGTTATTTTCCCCCCCTTAGGATCTGAGCAGCAAAGATATGAAGAGAGATTTATATATAGTTGCCCATGTGATCCGAATAGGTACTGTTTGCTTTTTTTTTCTTCTTCTTATAATTAAGACCAACTCAACATGGATTTAATGTTTTTTGCTCACAAACTTTATCTTCTCCTAGCTCTGAAGTGTTATCTCTCAGGATTAGAGTCTAGTGCGATTATATTTTTCACTTAATGTTACTTACAGTGTAGCTGGTTTTTTATATAAACAAATGCATTTTATTCTCACCTTCCATGCCCTTTTGATTTTAAATGCAGATTTTTTTAAAATGATTTTTTTTGGCATTCTCTCCATTTGATTGTAACAGTGTCTTGCCCCCCATACAAACCCTCTCACTCAGCCATCTCATAGCATGTAACTGTGTGGAGGGACGAAAAATGGTCTTTCTTTGTGGTATGTATCAAAAAAAATGCCCAAAAAATTAGAATTGCTGTCATTATTTGATGGAATCTCCTTTTTATCCTACTCAAGATGAAGAAAGCAGTTTGTATGCTATTATACTGTAATTGGTTTTCCCAGCCTTAATTATACAATTTATAGTATAATTCTGAGGAAGAGTATTGAGGATACCATGGACTGCTAGGAAAACAAACAGATTCATCCTAGAGAGGGTTAAACCAGGCTGCTCCTTGGACGTAAGGATTCTGGGGCTTTCTCTGGCATACTTTGGACATGTTGTAAGGAGGGACCGGTCCTTGGAGAGGGACATCATGCTTGGGAGGATGGAGGGACAGTGCAGGAAGGAAAGGCCCTGTATGAGGTGGATTGATTCAGTGACTGGGGTAATTGGGATGGGAATGTCAGAGACAGTGTGATTGGCACAGGACAGAGCAGAGTTTAGGGCTGTTGTACATAGGGTCGCTGTGAGTCACAAATAACTTGACGGCACATAACAGCAACAACAACAAATTCTGAGGTATCTGAATACCACCTCTTCTGTCATAGATGTGAAGTCTTAATACTGTGTACATTTTCATCAAAGATTATTTTTTAGTCCTTTGCCAAAGAGTAGAGCATTTATGTGAGCCTCTGGTTTTGCTTGCACAACCTTTGATGACTAGGAAAATCAAGTCCCTGTCTCTTCCTAAGATGCTGTCACAACCACAGTAGTTCAGGAGCAGCATTGGAAGCAGAATTTGGTTGAAAGAACAGCAAGTTGTTATCCTTACCTGTGCATACATAGATGATACCGGCAGCTAAATTACTAAACTTTAGAACCTTAATATGCCTGGCAAATTTTAATCTATTAGCATATTAGCTTTTTTTAAGAAATTCATGAAGCACTGTGATTTATTATAGTGTGATTAATGAATGGTTTATTGAGCTCTTCTCCTGCGTTCACGGATAGATGATAAGGGTGATTGACAGGATGTGCCCTGTCCAGAGCCCTGTTTGAGTTCCTCTACATAAATATCATATCTTTATATCCTGGGAAATCTGCCTTCAGCCTTCTAGCTCGCTAAGGTGCCTGTAGCTCTGACATCCTCAGACAGCAATCACAGTGATGCTAGAGAGCAGTATAATGTTCTTGTTTGTTTTGTTCATTTTATTAATTTTAATGAACATTTACAGAGATTTTGGATTTCCATTCATTAATTTTTGTACTTTTCTCCCTGCCCACCCCTCCACCCCAATTCATTCCTCTCTTTGAAAAGTAAAAGAAAAATTCCTTCATTGTATACAATCCCTCCCACCCTCACCCTGAGTACACTCTACTATACAACCTTCATTCTGGACTCTTGTTATAACCGTAATAATTTATCATATATCACTTTTAAACTGCTCTCTCACTCATCTGTTTCAATGCAACAGTATGATGTTCCTAGTTTGACTGGTGCTTTCTACTGTATCCCAGGCCGGATGCTCCTGAATGACTCAAAGAAAGGCCCTGCCCACCTGCACTATCGGCGTCCATATGGCTGTGCCGTCCTGAGCATCCTGGATGTCCTACAGTCGCTCACAGAAGTAAAGGAAGAAAAGGACTTTGTTCTTAAGGTTTACACGTGAGTAATGGACATTGTAAATGTTTGTGATTTACAGCATAAAGACCTTTGAGCACTGCCCTTGAGTATTTTCTAAATACATTCAGTACACAGAACTACCAGAGTTAGAACAGAAAGCGTTCCTTTAAATGCAGAACCTCAGACCTAAAGTCTGGATTAGTGTCTCTTGGCCTCTAATCTATTTTTAATAAGCTTCCAGGTCCCTTTGAGCCCTGGTGGCATAGTGTGTAGCGTATAGGACTGCAAACCAAAAGATAAGCAGTTCTAATCTCTGTAATAGAAAGATAGACAGTCTTCTGTAAAGATTTACTGCCTCAGAAACCCAATGGAGGATTGTTTGCATCTGAACCAACTTGATGTGGGTGGTTAATACTATAGTAGGGGACCCTGGTGATGCATTTGTTAAAATAACTTGCCTACTAGCTAAAAGACTGATGGTTCAAAACTACCAATGACTCTGCAGAAGAAGGAGATGGGAGTCTGCTTTGGGAGGGTTCCAGTCTCAGACACCATAGGAGTTCTACTTGGTCCAAAAATTGAAAACAGTGAAGAAGGAATTGTTGTTATGTGCCATTGAGTCGCTTGCAACTCATAGTGACTCTACGTACAACAGCTCTAAACTCTGCTCTGTCCTGTGCCAATCGCACTGTCTCCAACACACTCACCCTGATTGCCCCAGTCACTGAATCAATCCACCTCCCAGAGGGTCTTCCCCTCCTGTGCCTGCCCTCCACCCTCCCAAGCATGATATCCTTCTCCAAGGATCGGTCCCTCCTTAACAACATGACCAAAGTATGTCAGATGAAGTCTCAGAATCCTTGCCTCCAAGGAGCAGCCCGGTTTAATCCTCTCCAGGATGAATCTGTTTGTTTTCTTAGCAGTCCATGGTACCCTCAGCACTCTTCTCCAACACCAAAGCTCAAAAGCATCAATTCTCCTTCTATCCTCCCTGGTCTTGTGCAGCTCTCTGACACATAACAAGTGATTGCAAAGACCATGGCCTGTACCAGACAGACCTTAGTCTCCAGAGACACACCGTTGCTCTTCAGTACTTTAGAGAGGTCCCTAACAGCAGACTTTCCCATCGCAATCCGTCTTTTAATTTCCTGGCTGCTGGTGCCAAGAGTGTTGATTGTGGAGCCAAGCAGACTAAAGCTTTGAACAAACTCAATCTCTTCACCATCCATCCTGATGCTGCCGATTGGCCCAGTGGTGAGAATCTTTGTCTTCTTGACATTGAGCCTCAATCCATATTGAAGGCTGCAGTCCCTAACCCTCAGCAGCAAGCGCTTCAGGTCCTCCTCAGTTTCAGCAAGTAGGGTTGTGTCATCTGCATAACACAAATTGTTGATAGATCTTGATGCCGCATTAGTCAGAAAATAAGGTCTTGATCACAGAAATGAGGGTGGAAGTAGAGTGATCAAATTTTGTATTTTCAATGATTTATACATTGCAAATACTTTTTTAAAAACCGAAAATGACAACTTTATACATGGACCTCACCTGATGGGATGCATATGAATCAGATTGACTACAGCTGTGGAAGGTATTGGTAGAAGTGGGTCAGACTATCAATTACTCATGTATAAGTTCAAATTGAGGCTGAAGAAAATGAAAACAAATCCATGAAAACCAAAATAGGATTTTGAATCTCTTCCATCTGATTTCAAAATTACCTGAAAAATAGCTTTAAAGCATTGAACACCAGTGGTTGAAGATCACTTGTTGTGTGATGATATCAAGGGTATCATCCATGAAGAGAACAAAAGGTCATTACAAAGACAGAGGAGAGAGAAAAAACTGAAATGGATGTCAGAAAAGACTCTGAACATTGCACTACAGTGTCACGAAGGCAAAACAAAAGGAAAACATGCTGAAGTAAAAGAGCTGAACAGACTTCCAGAAGGCAAAGCAAAGTATAATGGAATGTGCAGAGACCTGGAATTGGAGAATAAAAACTAAAGAATTTGTTCTGCATTTCTCAAGCTGAGAGAACTGAAAACAAATTTAAGCCTCAAGTCGCAATATTGAAAGATGTTATGGGCATCATCCTAAATGACCTATAAAGCATCAGAAGAAGATAGAGGGAATATATAAAGTCACTAAAAGAACTGACACTGAAAAATTTGCTGAAATACCATATGAGCAAGAGCCAATGGCAGTTGAAGGAGAAATTTGAAGCTGCATTAAAGGCATTGG